AGGCCGGCCGTGCCGGTATCCACTCCGGCGGATATGCGAAGACCTATTAACAGCGGGATAAACTGTAGTGCCCTCTTGGGGTGGTTTATAAAGTAATCTAGAATGGGAACAGGTATGGGTTGATCTCCAGGCACTATTTCTAAGTCAGGTAATACTGTTCCATGGTGCATATTCCTGTCCAGTTTTGGGGCAGGAAGGCATGAGCCTTGTTGTTGCCACAAACAAAAACATGTCCTGGGGGAGGACAAAGCAGTGAATCTTGGTTATTGCTTTGATTGAATACAGTTTCACATGTGGCAAAAGATATTCTCCCTAGATCAAGGTCATAACTATTGTTTTGGGCGGGTCCAACCCAACAAGCAATCACATTGAACCCTACGGGCTGTACTTTAAAAGGAAGGCTCATGAGGGCGCAGCTTTGATTTTGCTCAGGCTGAGAGGCATTGGGGGAAGGTAAAGCCAGCGGTATGGGTGTCCCAAAGGGCATGCATAACCAACAGTCTTTGGCTAGCTATGGGTTAATAACATTTAAGGCCTGGTGAGTAGCTGTCAGTATGTCTGTAGTTTGGACATCAAGATCTATTCCTCTCGGCTTTGGAAGCAGGAGAGGATGGTAGTTGACCTCTGGGTAATTTATCATCCTTTGTATCTTAGCGTCTGTTTCTATCTCTCTAATTGTATCTTGAGGGCCTCCACCATCAGTGATATGAATGGGAACTTTCTTAAACCAGCATACCAGTGAGCCAACTTTTCCAACACATGGGGCCTGAGATAACTTATAATTTCCGACAACAACTGGATTAATGCTCCAGTCTCCTCCCATAGTCCCTGTGGAAGTCCGAGTTAGAATGGCAGTAAAATAGATCGTTTTGTCTGAGCCCATACATTCTGAGTAGGATGAATAACAAGTGGCATGCACTGCCTCAGAATAAGTCTCACAGGGACATGTTGTCATTTGGGACTCACTGCTAAGGTTGGGTTTAGGTTTAGGTTTGAGATAGCATGCCCATCCCCGGAGTCCAGGGATGGATGCATAATAGGCCACTTTGTCCCCGCAATCTATGTCACCCAGGGACGTCAGTCCTGGGGTCCTGTTTGAAACGATTCCTGCTCTACAATCGCAGGGGTTTCCTGTTACACTCTTTCTGATGGTGGCTTTGTCAGGAGGTGGCCCAAATCCCCCTTCTCTATGAGGCAGTTATAAGCAGGCCACCCAAAATCCAGTATATAACCCTTATGTTTTGACTAAGCATCCTAGACAAATGAACAAGGTAATTAATCCAAGATATAACAGAGTATAGCATACCTTAAAGGTCAGATCAGCATCTGGTGGGGCGGCTTCTCATAAAGCTACAGCGAATATGTATGTCAAGATGGACAATAGAATGAGGAACCATACAGGGTAGCAGAGCATATCAGGGGCCAGTAGGCCTAGCGCGGCGCAGCTTTACTTTTAGAGGATTACCAGTTTGTTTTAATGTCTAATTGTTGTCCTCTGGTGGAGGGGCAGGCTTTAGATGCGACGCATGGATCCAGGAAGCAATGCCATCAACCTTGACTGCAGTGGGGGTGGTCAGCAGTACTTGATAGGGTCCTTTCCAGCGAGGCTGTAAGGTTTCAGCTTGGTGGCGGCAGACCAGCACAAAGTCCCCTACTTGATAGGAGTGTGGCGTTGGAGATTCACCGGGGGCCTAAGCCGAGGACAGCTGCTTCCAGAGGATCTTTTGCAGGCGATCGAGGGCGACGAGCCTATCAGACAGAAAAGTAGGTAATACTGCAGAATCATTTATTTGGGGAGAGAGATCTCGGATAGGAGGAGGAGTGCCAAAGAGGACCTCAAAGGGAGTTAGATTAGGTGGCGTAGCCAATGGAGTGTTTCGAGCACGGAAAAGAGCGTAGGGCAGGAGCATTGTCCAATCTTTTAAGCCAGTCTCAAAGACTAATTTAGTTAAGGTCTCCTTAATTGTTCTATTCATTCTTTCTACCTGTCCTGAACTCTGGGGCTTATAAGCACAATGTAACTTCCAATCAATCCCCAGTATGTCGGCCAGCCCTTGACTTACCTTAGCCACAAACGCCGGCCCATTATCTGACCCGATCACCTTAGGTAGTCCGAAGTGAGGGAAGATTTCTTCCATCAGTTTTTTAGTAACTGTGGCGGCTGTCTCTTTTTTAGTGGGGTAGGCTTCAGTCCATCCGGAAAAAGTGTCAACAAAGACAAGTAAATACCTATATCCGTACTTGGCGGGCCTGATCTCAGTGAAGTCAACTTCCCAATATTGTCCGGGCCTTGTGCCCCGTAGTCTTTTTCCCGGGGCTAACTTAGTGGGGTGGGCATTAGTTAACTGGCATGCCTTACAGCTAGCCACTACTTGAGCGGCAATTTTGTGGACACTTGAGGGAGTTATCCCCAGGTAATTCTGGTGTTGAGCCAACAAGCACAGATTTTTAGTCCCCAAGAAAGTAAGCTGTTGAAGGTAAGTGGCCAAGTCAGGTTCATCCGGTTGTTTATCCAATTGAACTTTTTCTTCAGGAGGAGTACTGAGTGTCAGAACTCGTGTGTCGCTCATGGCGCCTGATTTTTCAGCTTGATCAGCTAGGTTGTTTCCTTTAGTAACTGGGTCTGTCCCCCTTTGACGGCTGTTACAATGTATTATGGCCACTTTTTATGGCAGCATGACTGCATCTAGCAACCGGAGGATTTCTTGTTTATGTTTTATTTCCTTTCCTGCAGAGGTTAAAAGTCCCCGTTGTTGATATATGGCCCCATGGATGTGGGCCGTTGCAAAAGCATATCGACTGTCCGTGTAGATGTTTGCCCGTTTTCCCTTGGCAAGCTCTAAGGCCTTGGTGAGGGCAATCAGCTCACCCTCTGGGCTGAGGAGCCCTCTTTTTCAGTCCAGTTGCCCAAATTATATTACAGCAGTCCGTCACCGCAACTCCCGCAACTCGCTTACCTTGTAGGAGGAAGCTACTTCCATCACTGAAGTATGTCACCTCAGCATCTGGCAATGGTTGGTCTGTCAAGTCTAATCGGACTTCGGTTTCTTCAGCTAGGATATCTTGGCAGATATGTAATACCAGTTCTGAGGTTTCTTCTGGCAGCAGAGTTGCCGGGTTGAGGGATTGTTATTTTTCCAATTATATAGATCAGAGGAGGAGAATGGCCAATACTGTAGGGAGGGCATTTCTCCCTCAGCTGTACCATCACTAATCATAGGTCTGCAGGGCCGAAGTGGGAGAGTCACAGCGGGGCCACCCTCAGGATGGAGGGCATGTTTACTGCAATTCCCCTGGGCGGGGCCTTTGTCCCCAGGGGGACTTGTCCAGGCTACCGGGGCTTGCGGTTGAGGGAGTTGATCCTGGGGAGAGGGAGTCGCTTTGTGGCGTCTGTGGGGCAGAGGGCGGGTAAGGAGGAGGAGGACAGGGAGGTACAGGGTTGGTCTCGAGTAGAAGAAGATCAGGTTGGGAGTCGGGTAAGGAAGGTGGAGCCAAAGGTGCTTTCGCAGGCAGGAGTTTAGAGTTGTTTGTCTCGCTGGGAGGGAGAAAGGTTTTTACCCAGGATGGGGGGGTCTTCACGTAGATCCTGCCAAACCAGGATGTAGGGTATCTGATCTGGGTGGCCGTGTCTACCAGGGCGGAAAATTACACCCTTTACGGCCAGGATCAGGGGAAGGTGGAAAGTCCCTTCTGGAGGCCATCAGACTGAAGAGGTGGGCCACTCTGAAGAACAGAAGGTCTGCCATTTTCCCTTCTTAACCTGGAGAGAGAGATTATGAGCTCGTTCCTGAACCTTGGGCCAATGGTCCAAGGAAAGGGAGAGAGGGGTTGAGGTTGTTTGTCCCATATTATCCTGGAAAAATAAAAGAGCCACGAGGAACGGGAGAGACGTAGACAAACACAAGGTGTCCACACTCAGGAACACCACTCTCAAGCCGGTGTCACACACACACCTACGCCACTGGGTGGTGGAAATAGATCGGCGAAGAAGCCCGCCGCAAAGTAGCCGCGAAAGGACTACGCAGGGCGGTAGGAGCAACCTACCCATCTCGGCAGGAGCGACCTGCCTACTCAAATTGGTGCAGAACCACCGTCAAATGTTCCATGAGGGAACCTTGGGGCGTCCCCCAATAGAAACAAACTGCCCTTGAATTCGGGACCAAAGAAACGACAAGAACGGTCCAGGGCAGTAAAAAGGAAGAGAAAATGAATGATGGACCGCAAAACAAAAGTAAACAAGAATCGGCCGTACTTACCCCAGAAGGGCGCTTAGCGGCGGTTGGGGCCTCCTTCTGCGAGGTCTATCTCGCTGGGGCCTCCAAATGTAAGACCAGCGTCGCAAAAAAGACCCCAAGGACTCAGCTCTCATGTAAGAACAAGGGGTTTTATTTTCCAAGCACACAGGCTCCTCCGATCAAGTGGGAACGGAGAGCCCCGTACTCCAGCAGGGCTGGAGTTACAGAAGTCAATCATAGCGATTAGAGCTGGGCTGATTGTGAGCTGTCTTTAAGGGATTGGGTTTCTTTGTGGGGCGAAGGGGGTGTCTTCCGAAAGGGGTGGCACTTCTTAGGAACGGCCTTTTGAGGGCTGGGGATTTAGCTCAGCGGCATAAGCACCTGCCTTGCAAGCAGGCAGTCATGAGTTCGATCCCTGGTACTGATAAAAAGGAAAAAAAAGACAAAAAAAAAAAAAAAAAAAAGATGAAGGAACAGGCGTTTGTCCCATGACTGAGAAAACAGCCTTAGGTTAAGGCTGTTTATCTAAAATGGCCCGGAAACACTGGGTCCTGTGGGGGTGGAGCTACACATAGTTTCGAAACTGGCACAAGGCCCCCTTATGGGTTAACGAGCTTTCTTGGTCCCTTCACTCAGAGCCCCCAACAGACTCTGTCTTATTCTGCCTCTTTAAAAGTGTCCCGGTTCCGGGCAATTCCCCCGCCTTTCCCTGCCCCCACCCGTAACTCCCCGCCCCGCACCCCGCAGGGCCGTAGCGGGTGCTAGCTGACACGTGGGGAACCGGCGCCCGCGGGGCGGGTAGGAAGGTGTAGGTAGGTGTGTCCGAGTATGGCATCAACCAATGCTGGCCTTCACGGGGGGTATGGCTTCTCACGCTGCTTGTGAGTCAGGGTCAGGATGAAAGCCGTACTCAAGCCTTGGATACCACTGTGGACAAATGATGAACAAACGTCCGCGAAAGCAGCAGCTGCAACTCTGCGCTGTCCGCAAAGCCCAGCCCCAGAGTCACCTCGCGCGTTCCTCCCGGCCCGGCGCGGTGAACTGGCCCGCGCGACGTCACCCATTGTTTACAAATCAACCCAAGCCGGCTGGATCCCTGCTCCCTGGTTGCTGCTGGGGCGAGTGCTGGCTTCCCTGGCTCCTGCGTCCCTGGCCCGGCTTTGGCCCGCGCCCACCTCCGCCGCGGTCTGCCCAACCCGCGGGCAGCCGAGCCACCACCGCCGACGCGCGCAGGACCCCGGGTGCCCGGGCGGGGGGCCATGCCGTGCCGGAGGGAGGAGGAAGAGGAAGCGGAGGGGGAGGAGGAGGAGGGCAGCTTCCTCCTGCTGGAGCAGACGGTGACGCTGGGCGGCTCGGGAGAGGTGGACCGGCTGGTGGCCCAGATCGGCAAGACGCTGCAGTTGGACGCGGCACCCGACAGCCCGGCCTCCCCCGGTGCGCCCCCTGGGCCGCCGCTGCAGCCCCCGCGACCCCCGGCGGCGTCCCTGAGGCTGCCGCGGGTGTCTGCCGAGGCGGGGAGCCCGGCGCCCCCCGGGGCCGTGCGCTGTGCGCTCGGGGACCGCGGCCGGGTTCGCGGCCGAACTGCACCCTACGGCGTGGCGGAGCTCGCTGCAGACCCAGGTGTGCTGCCCCGGCCGTGCAGGCGAGAATGGCTCCAGGGCTCCGTTGCCTCCCGGCGCCTGCAACAGCGGCGGTGGACCCATGCTGCTGCCCGCGCCGGCAGTGACGACGACCCGCACCGGCTCCTGCAGCAGCTCGTGCTCTCGGGAAACCTCATTAAGGAGGCAGTGCGGAGGCTTCAGAGAGCCGTCGCTGCGGTGGCAGCCACCAGCCCCGTGGGTACCCCTGGGCCCGACAGCGCCAGCAGCGGACCGGAACGTGTCGCTCTGCAGACCTCGGGTAATGTTCTCTGACCCGAACCTCCCAGAAGAGGACGCTACCGCGCAGATCCTGCTGCATCCAGCTCCTGTCAACCCTGAGCTGAATCTTCTGTTTCCATCGCGAAGGCGGCGACGCGCGGGCTGTAGGAAAGCGCTTGTAGGAAACCAAGCGGAGAATTAACTGGCCCCCGGCAAGGTTGCCGGACAAAACTTAAAGCCTGGAGAAATGCACGAGCCAGGTTGTGTCTTTTCCTCTTGTGAAAATTTCGCCTTCCCAGGGCCAAAAACCCTGGGATAAACTGAGGGAACTATGGCAGCTACTTGCATCACCTTGTACCTGACGACTTGGCTATCATGCACTTGAATTGTTTAAAGATGGCTCACAGGGGTGGGAATCCCGAGGGCTTTCTACCAACTTGTAAACTAATGATAATTCATACATTTACTCTTTGTTTTCCGGTGGAGGTGCCTACTGAAAACGGTGCTACAATTGCTGTGCAAAACAATTCTGGGGTGAAGTATGTAAAACTTTGCGGTGGGTGGGTTCCCTTCACCCTCTCTCTCCCACTTGGTAGGCAGCTGGTGGAAATGGAGACCGGAACTTCTGTCTGGAGACAGAAGGGTCATGGAGGTTTTCCTAAGATGGGCAGTGTTGACTTGGCATGTGGACTCTCAAATGACTTGACCTTGCCACCTGTGGTAGGAGGTCACGTTTAACTGTAAGTGGGAGGCTTCCAGATTCCTGGGAAAACTAAGCCTGGGTTTCTTGTTCCAAGAAGAAACCTGTCTGCTTTGCCACCACTTGGAGTCCCTGGAAGAGACACAGGCAAAGAGGGACATGGCAGGAGGTTGATTTTGGAGGAGCTTCCCTCTTTGCAGAACAACTCCTCCTGCTAGCAGGCTGCTCTTGGCCATGCTACCAGCCTTCTCGGAAACTGTCATAAACAAATTCTTGTCCTAACTGGCCTTTCTTCCTTCTGGTAGCTGTAGGCTTGGATGGGAGCCCTGGACACTTTTCTGCTTTTACTGGGCCTTTGGTCACTCGCAGTTTGTTTCCTCCTCCTGTGCCAGCTTTTCTTGTGAGTGACTGAAACTTTTTTTTTTAAACGTGACCCTCCAGGAGGAGAAAACGCTGGCTTGACTCTTGTGAAACTTGAGGGCATTTTAGTAAGGTGCCACCCCAAACTTTAAGGTAGCTAAACCAATTTTTTGAAGATTGGATGGCTAGTTCATCCTCCACATGTAGCTATTGACGTGTACTTCGCAACGGAGTGTCTGAATTGTGGTGGTCCTGATTTATAGGATTTCTTAATTAAAAATGTCTGCTGAATATATTTGATGTTTTTATTTTTTAAAACTGATTTGGCTTTTTCGTGGAAGATGGAGGAGTGAATGAGAAGCAGAGGATGTTCCCTTAATGATGAAGCATGCACAAGGGATGTTTTTGGGGGGGGCCTGGACAAATGGTTGGGGCCAGAGCCACTCAACACTCAGTAGAGTTGCAGTTACTTGAATTCTGAGCTGAGGTTCCACAGAGTCAGAAAATTAAGTCCAGGTGCTTAGTAGCTGCTAGTTGAGCTGCCATTTCCTTTGTGGGAAGGGTACATAGTCCGGAAACACTTTCTGGGCTAGAAAGCAAAGAAGTGTTGTATCTGGTGGAAGGTAGGCTTTCACCTGGATTTCTTCTTGTGAAATAGAGAGAACATGGGCAAAGCCAACTGTTGTCTCATATCAGACTGATCCATTGATGTCCCATAGGGGAAGAAAAACAAGGTTTTACAACATTTTATTTGGTAATTGTAAGATGGCTTGGTTTGAACAGGCAAGGATTAGATTTAACCTTGTGGGCAGTACTCCTGGTTATGGATCCTTGGTGAACCCCTGTTTACTTCCTACCTTGCCTTTTTGGTTTTTTGAGACAGGATCTTGCTATATAGTCCCCAGGCTGGCCTCAAACTCCCAGAGATCCTCCTGCTTCAGCCTCCCAGGTGCTGGGATTACGGGCATGTCTTTTTCAAGGACAGCTTCCCTGGTACAGCCCATCCTGCCTAACCAGCCTGCTGTGGCACCTCTCCTCCTCAGCACCCTGAGCTGGTTAGTGCTCTGTGATACGGGCCTGATGCATCCTTGCTGCATACTAACAGTACCATGGTGGGCAAGTCGGTGTCCTGAGCTTTCCCCCGTCTGGTTCATAAAATACGAGTAAGTACTTAAGCTATTTGGGAACGTAAAGTAAGGACCTGTCATAAAATATGAATAAGTACTTAAGCTATTTGGGAACGTAAAGTAAGGACCTGAGGTATTTAGGAGATTTAAGAACTCAAAATACAACTGCTAATTGCTGATACTACCACATGGAATTATGAGCTATGAGGTAGGAACTGTTTTAACATTTTGTAGATGAGGACACTGAGGCTCAGCTCTTAAGTGATTTGCTTGAAGTTACCACTTTTTGGGGAGACAGGCTTTCTCTGTGTAGTTCAGGTTGGTCTTGAATTCACAGTATAACCCAGGCTGGCTTCAGACTTGAGGGATTCTCCTGCCTCAGTCTCCTGAGCGGTAGACTTACAGTTGTGCCCACCACATGGTTGTCTTGATCTCATTTTCTCCCTATTGGATTTACTCCAGAGACCACTCGCTCTTCAAGCCATGATTGCCTGATAGAGGCATCCCTGTTCTCAGACTTGCCCTGACCATATGTATGCAGGTTTCAGGGACTTGGGATGAGGCAAGGTGTGAGACGTCTGGTAGAAACCATAGCAGGTTTGAGGGCTGAGGCTTTTGTGTGAGGAAATGGAAACTGCATACAAGGCACAAATAGCAGGTGGCACTTGGCCGCTTCCTGGAACCTCGGGTCCTCTAAGGTGAGGACAGGGCAGAGAGAGAGAGCTCTCTGCAGGTGCAGTCTGACCAGAGCAGACTGGGGAATGAAATGGGAATGGTGACTGCAGCCAAGGAGGATGCATGCATAGGACCTGAGAAGCCGGGGGAGAGGCAGAGGGAACTGAGCCTCGGCGTGTCACATCTCATGAGACGTTAGGAGTAGGTGGTCCTGTCTAATGTTACCCACACTCCTTTGGGTGGGAGAGTGAGGATGAAACATTATTGCCTGATGGTAGCTATGTACCACTGTAGAGGGAGCAGTCATGGCTTCAATAATTTCCCTGTTGATTCTAAGGAAATCTAGAAATAGATTTGCCAGTTTGTTCCTCCTCCTGAAGCAGGAGGGAAGTAGATGGAAAAAACTCTATAGTGTGCCCTTATATCACTTGTAGATCCCACACTAAGCACAGTTCTTATATCTTCCAGTTCCTTGTGCACACACAGATCTTTTCCCTTGATGGAATCGCTGCCATGAATTTGTTCCTGCCAAATTGGATGCAAAAGTCCTCTCAAATTGGGCATATTGGTGCATGTCTATAATCCCAGCACTTGGAAGGTTGAGGAAGGAGGATTACAGTAAGCTCAAGGTATCTGGGCTACATAGTGAAATCAAGACCAGCCTGAACTATAGTGAGACCCTATCTCAAAAAAAAGGCCTCTCAGATGATCCCAGGCTTGAAGTCCACAGGGTTGGTGTCCCTGAACATCACTTAACTTGTCTTCACATTTAATACTTCTCAAGACCATGCTTCCATTGGCCTTGAGAGTGGATTTTACCAGGCTACCAAAAAATGGATGGATCTTCAAGTCATTATAGTGTTTCTTAAGAAGGTCTTCATAAGCCTGCATGAATTATAAAGACAGAGTCCCTTCTGCCAAAAACATTTGGAGATCTTATAAAAAATTTGATGGCATTGAAAGTGCACTTATTGTTAGTCATAGCCTTCTCTAGCTGCTTGGGGTTTAGTTCATTCATTTTCTCCTGCTCCCACTATTGATCTATCCATTTGCAAAGGCTGTCCAGTGCCTCCTCATGGACCTGGGCCTGGGCAAATGTGTCTTTCATAAGCAAAGACCATATCCAAGGTGTTGCGTCTTAGGATAGCTCGTTCTTAGTACTCAGCTCAGAATGACCTTGACTAGGATTTCCCAAGCTCCTTGGAAGAGATGGGTGGTGCTGAATTGAGGGTGTGGACAAGTGCAGTTGAGGTAACTCCATCTGGCGATGGGCCCAGGGCCCAAGTTTTCTGGATAACGTTCTGTGTCAAGGGCAGCAGGACCAGATCATTAGGGAAGTGGTAAGTTGAGGGTGTGTGGTGGTGGGAGTGTTGGCGGGGAGTTATAGGGATAGCAGACTGGTGTGTCATAAATGACTAGAAGTTGGAGGAAGATCAGAGCTGATGATAAAGATTTGGCAGTTAAAGCTAAGGCTCCTGCAGGAGCCTGGCAGGCAGGCAGTAATAGTAACATTAGCTAACGTACTTCGTACTTACCATGTGCCAGGCTGTGTTCTAATCACTTAGCAAGGACTAACCCATTGGATCTTGGTGGGAAGAAGAGAATACACAAAAGGAGCAAGATAGTGAAAGCAGAGCCAAGGGAAGTAGTAGTGGTGAGGGGTGTGAGTGTGTCAGCCGTGTGTACACACATGCAGCCGTGGCTGTGTTCCATCCATGTATGTTCCTTGTGGCTGCAGTGGTCAGGGCATATAAAATTAGGTATACTTAGGAGCAGTCTTTTTTGAACCCTGAAGTTAATTCAGCTTCCTTTTATCAGCTCCATGAAGTCTTTTTTGTCCTCAACCTAGCTGAAGAAAGGTAGGGAATAGGGTGCATCTGTGGGAAGGGGTTGTCACTGCAGTATCTGGAGACTTTTAGAAAACCTTAGAAACCATTTTTCACCAATATTAATCTGTAGCATCCAGTCAGTGAGACTCTGTCTCAAAACAAAAAATTGAAAAAGGCTTAGGTACTATACATAGTTCAGGGTCAAAGCCTTGGCTTCAATCCCCAGTATAAAAAAGAAAGAATTAAAGAAAGGAAGAAAGAGAAGAAAGAAAAAGACAGAAAGGCAGGCAGGCAAGCACCAGGCAGACACCAGAGCAAAGGTAGCAGATGATAACCAGTTTTTGCTTTTTTGTTTTAACCCACCCAAATCAATAAGTCAAACTGCCTGAATAGCCTATCTGCTAGAGGTTGTGAATCATACCTCCTGAGTCAGTTAACAATTGATAAGAGGAAGCAGTAAACAAACTCCTTGGTGTCAGTTTTAGTTTTCATTCCATTCATAGGAAACCAAAAGAAACCTGCGCAACCACCCCAAACATGAAAGTTACACAAGGGTGCTTCCACTGCTAATCTCTCAGGTCCTGGGCCTCACTGTAGAGGACAGGTTGTGACACAGGGCCTGTCATATGGGACATGCACATCTCCAGCCCCTCAATCCTGGTTTACCTTTCAAACTTCCCAGACTTGGGACCCTGTCCTTTCTGGCCTCCTCCAGGAGTGTAATCTTCCAGGGCATCTTCCCTTGAATTATCCTTTCCTATGCTCTTCCCTTGAATTATTCTTTCCTACGCTCTGCGTGCATGTGGACAAGCACAGGTCTTTTTTTTTTTTTTTTTTTTTTTTTTGGTCTTTTTCCTTTTTATCAGTACCGGGGATTGAACTCACGACTGCCTGCTTGCAAGCAGGCGCTTATGCTGCTGAGCTAAATCCTCAGTCCCAGGCACAGGTCTTTCTTAGGTAAGTAAATCCTTCCCTTGGTCCTATTTTCCCTTTAAAAATTATTTTTAAAATTTATTATTAATTATTATTATTTGTCAGTACTGAGGATTGAGCTCAGGGCTTCACACATGCCAGGCAGACACTTCACTATTGTTCTGTGTCTCCAGCCACTTTATTTTTTTAGGAGAAAGTCACTTTTAATTGAAAAATAAAGCCGTACATTTCAAGTAAGACTGTAATAACAAATAGTAATCTGTTGAGAAAGCTTTCTTAAGTAGTCTATGACATTTAGGTGTTCAAATATTAAGTTTCCTTCTTTTACCCTGACTCATCTTAAAGCAATATTAAAAATAAGGACTTTTTCCAGAAATGAAATTACTATGAATTAAATTTGTAATCTACCATCCTTATTTCTAACCCACTGACAAAAGGCAGGGAGATTTTGAACAATTATTCCCATACTGAGAAGTTCCCATAGAAAAGCAAATAAAGTCATTATTTTCCTTATTAGAAAGCTTAAAGGAAAGACACACCAGACTATTAATATGTAACTCATTCACAAAATTTCAAAACAGAATTTCATCAAGAATATCTCTACTATAATTCTCCCTAAAAGAATCTTGGAAATTCCAGGATGGTTTAAGTTGAGACCTTGAACACATTGAGCTTCAAAAGAAATTACTGGGGCTGGGGATTTAGCTCAGCGGCATAAGTGCCTGCCTTGC